CTCTCTCTCTCTCTCTCTCGCTCTCTCTCTCTCTCTCTCTCTCTCTCTCTCTCGCTCTCTTTCTCTCTGTTGTCAGCTGTAGGTCACATGACTCTCTCTGCTGGCTCTCACTGAGCATGCTCAGTTCACTGTGTTGTCAGGCAAAAAAGAAGACGGCTCTGGAACAGACGAGATCTGCAATAGATAAACACACAGCCGGAGAGGGAGCGCTAGTATGGAAGGGCGCTGCTAGTGCACAGTAACTCTGCCGTATCGGATGGTTTGGGGCCGTGTTTCTGTATGCATTGTGCTGTTCATCCGCTGTGTGTCGTGTCGGAGGAGAAGCATCCGTCTGGCGGTCGCTCCATCCTCGCTGAAGGTGAGCCGGATGTGGGGGAGGGGGTGTCGGGGATGCTGGCCGTCTGTGTTTTTGGGATGCATCGGTATGTGGTGGCTCCAGCGGGGCATTATGGGTGTTTGAGGACACACAGGGGACTCGAGCAGATGGATGCTGTCGAATGTGATGATTAGACTGATATGTCGGACATAAATCATTCAGTGCATATGATTGCATGATTAACAGAAGTGTATTTCCATCCAAAATCTCCTGAGAGCCACATATTTGTTAGTGAACATGTTAGATAAAAATCCAGGTATTTGTGTGCATCTTATTTGTTGTGTTTAAATTTGCTCTTTAGATATCAGTATGTTAGTTTTTACTGATTTCATGCAGGGTTGACCTAAAAGACATGAATGCATTCATTAGAGTGATGATATTCACAAAGACGTGTATTATACAATAACATAAAAACATAGTTGAAACCACAAAACTGATGGATTTCATAGATGTTTTAGGCCTTATCTAAATATCTTTGTCTTATAGTTTACATCCAAGCTGCAAAATTATATTTCTCCTTTCAAATTAAGTTTAAAATTAGTTATTATTCGTGGCCAAAGAAACAGGAATAGTATGTGGATTTGCGTCATGATTTTTAATGACAATTAAACAGATTTTCCCTCTTTGAAATTCTGTAATGTGTCCAGATGTTTTCATTTTGAATTTTATTTGTAATTTGCAAGCAAGTTTATTGATATAGAATCCATTTCATACAAAATGGTAATTCAATGTGCTTTACATCAAAAATAATTACAAATATTCATAAAGTAATTACAACAGATGTAGAAAAAATAAAAGTAACTATAAAAGCGAAGAATAAACTAAATCATTATTTTTAATTGTAGAATCTCATTATTGTAATACAGTATTTTATTGTATGAAAGTAAAAATACATAAAAATGATTTCAATATGAATGCAAAAAATTATATCACAATGCAGACAAAAATGAATCCTTCAATGAAAAAAAATTGCTTGTAAATTTCACAATTGATTACAAAGAAACTGCAAGTAACACATTGAATTAAACATGGAAATTTGAAGTAGAAAGAATAAAATAGTATTTTCTTGTAAAACATACTCCAATAATCTGTTTTATTTACAACTTAGAATTTTTTTAATTTATCATAATTTAGTTTATCATCCTTAGGTTCTCATTATTGTAATGTATTAAAGTAAAAATCTATTTCACAATGCTCCTAAAAGCGATATTTTAATGCAGAATAAATATTGTTTTATTTTGATCTTTTGAATATAGGGAGAAATAAAAGCCGTGCATGTTCTTGGCAGATTTTGTGACGTCCATGTGGTGTGTTTTGTCAGTATTTATCAGATATGACTTGTACAGGACTACTTGGGAAATTGCTTCTATAAATTTGTACACACACACGCACACACACACACACACTCACTCACACACGCACGCACGCACGCACGCACGCACGCACGCACGCACGCACGCACGCACGCACGCACGCACGCACGCACGCACGCACGCACGCACGCACGCACGCACGCACGCACGCACGCACGCACGCACGCACGCACGCACGCACGCACGCACGCACGCACGCACGCACGCACGCACGCACGCACGCACGCACGCACGCACGCACGCACGCACGCACGCACGCACGCACGCACGCACGCACGCACGCACGCACGCACGCACGCACGCACGCACGCACGCACGCACGCACGCACGCACGCACGCACGCACGCACGCACGCACGCACGCACGCACGCACGCACACTCACACTCACACACACACACACACACACACGCACGCACGCACACACACGAAACAGTGTCACAGACAGAAGGGGTTGTTGCTAGGATACACAGTGGCGAGATGGAGGAGAAAGAACAGAACGTTATTTTAAACGGCTGCGCTGAGGTGAAACCAGAGACAGAAAGACGCTCGGTTTCTGTAGGTCTGCAGGACTGGATGCCTGCCATCTGCACGCTCACAAATATGACACTGGAATTTTTAATGTGAGAAAATGTCAGCGATGTTTGACCAAGCAAAGCTCACGAGCTCTGGGAGGTTTGTTGTGCAGTTGCTAGGGTGTTCTGAATGGTTGCTAGGGTGATTTCTAAGAAGGTTTGCTATTGTCTTAAGTAAAGTCTTCTATGCATTGTAAAAATCCAGTGTTGCTTTTGAGTTTTATTTGTAATTTTCATTATTTTAATGGTAATTCTCATTAGGTTCTCATTACAGTTTATTTAATGTATTAAAGTTAAAATACATTAAAATACAATAAAATGCAATACAATATAAAAAGTCACAGTGCAAAAAAACTAAACATAAATGGTCCTAAGATTTTTTTTAAAGCAGAATACACACACACACACACACACACACATATATATATATATATATTGCTAGTAAATTTCACAATTAATTACAAAGAAATGGCAAGTTACACATTGAATTAAACGAGATTTTGAAGTAGGAGGACTAAAATTGTATTTTCTTGTAAAACATATTTCAATAACCTTGCTTCAGTGTTCATATGTGTGATTTTTTCCCACCTGTTTTACCATCCAGCAGATGAAAATATTAAGTTTATTAGTGGCAGTGATGCTTGCAAACAGCACTAAGCACAGCTTCTTTCCTTTATTACAAATCTTATATAATCTTTATGATTGCAGATATTACATTATTGTCTCTCTTGAAATGCATAAATCTGCAGGTGCACAATAATTGGTCATTTCTCTCTGGTAACTGGTTATTGAGTTAAATGGAGAGCTCTCTGTGGTTTTGATCAATGATTTGTCTAATAATCTGTTTATTTTTCCACAGAAAGCACAGAGCTCATCTTACTGAAGACATCTCCTGTCGTCCCAGAGCGCCTGCTGTTTTGTGTTTTGAGCTGAAATGGATCAGAAAAGCTTCATCCTGTTAGAGACGCGTCTGTGAACACCGGAGCCAATGGTGAGCGTTCACACTTCATTACTCACACGAACACCGTCAGACACGGCCTGCGTTCAGCTGCGGGTCTCTGGACACAAACACTGTGCTGACGAAGAATGTGAGATGACACAACTGTAACTCTTTACTTGACCTTAGGCTAAGCTCCGCCCCCCTCGGTTACTGTTGCTCGGTCGAAACATCCCATAGGAGTCAATTGTAAAATTTGCCATTCGATTTGCAGTAAAATGAGCGCATAAATTGAAAAAGTATATTCAATGTTATTGTAGTTGTACATGAGCTGTAAATGAATTATGAGATTGTGACAAAAAGGGTTAGAACCCCAACCCTAAGTTGTTTCATTAAATTGTTTAAAAGTCATATTTTTTTAATTAGTTTAATCCCTTTTGTTTATTTCTGTGTATTTTGGATGTATAATTATTTTGATTGTCTTCTATTGATGTACTTTTATTTTTATTATCTCTTTTTGAGATTTTTACTTTTATACTGCATTGTTGCCTGTGAATGTGAGAAAGCCATTTTTTGATGATTATTATTATTATTATTGAAAATCAGTCAAAATCGAGTCGAACTCTTCTCACAGTCACTGAAAAGAGAAAAGCCTAATTTGACAGTGATTACAGATGATCACATTAATTCCTAATGTTTCTGCAATGCATTGACTCTGGTACTGTACTCTATTCTAAACGCTAAAACTTTTTTATTTAACTTGAACATGAAGAAATGTTGCATTTTCTGAAAAGAAATCAATATTTATATGCATATTCTGTTTTGAATTTGTGGGTTTCTGGTCTCAGACTGTCATTTTGCATTTAGCAGTTGTTTAATGAATCCAAAACTATTAATTATCAACGTTTTTAAAGTAAGATTAAATCAGCCGTCTTGTTTGTTACCAAAATATTGAACTATTGAAGTGATCATCAGCGCTGTGTGTTCAGTGAAAAATCCAGAATAAATGTGCGTTTTAACTAAAACAAAAACTATTAAAAATTGTCTTCATTAATTGAAATAAAGCTGAAATCAAATCAAATCTAAATATTGGATGAAAAACTTGAAATAAATGAGTTTAGGTTGAAGTACTAAAATTACTGAAACTAAAACTGAAATAGAAAAGTTATAAAAAAAATATGAATATTAAAAACCAAAAAGTACAAAAAAAAGCACATCATTAAAAAAACTATTAAAACGTCAACTAAAATTCAAATGAAAACTTAAAACTTAAATAAAATAAAAAACTAAACTACAATAAAATACAAATAAAAGCTCAAATAAATAAATACTATAAATGCTACTAAACTAGCACCGCGTGTGTTTTATTCAGGATATTAAAGGCCAGGGCTGGACGGATGAAGAATCGGATGGAGAGAACGAACCGGAGCAGTTCCTGTACGGGATTCAGGTAAAACACTTCAGTCGTCAAACGTTTCTTACATTAGGTTAGTACATTTGTTTTTGTTTTAAAGATATATGACGGGTTTAATCTACCTTTTAGACATTTTGTTAGTAATTTTAATGTTAGTGATGTTGCCTGTATTACAAGGCAGCAAAATACGATTTAACTTAAAACTTTTTCATCAAATAGTGTATTTTATTGTTTGTTTGTTGTGAACATTCATTTAAGTACAATCATAGGTAGCATATTTCAAGTTACATACAATGCTCAATGCAACCATGGAGTATCTTGTACAATTACCTAGTGTGTTTTAACTATAAATTATACTCAACCTTCATTAAATTGTTTCAAAGTATAACCTGTTTTTCTTTTTACAAAGAAAAGTAACGTTAAAATAAAATGTATATATAAAAAATATAAATAACTATGTTCATCCAGGGAGAGAACATGTGTCCTAATTCAATTCCATCCAGAATAACCTCAAATGACCTTCATTATGTATATAGATATTAAACAGAGTACATGCATATTTGCGAACATGTACATATACACACACACAAGCATGTATTATATTACGTGTATCTATCTATATATTGATCATCTTTTATTTATTTATCCAAATAGTGTATTTAATGCCTTTATTTTCATTTGTATACTGTCTCTTCATGTAAGAAATATTTCCTTTTGGGTTTAAATCTCAAATGAGTGACGGAGTAGGAACAACTGGTTATTTGCACCTCTAGCCATAAAAGTGAAGTAAACGAGCCATATGTGACCCTGGAGCACAAAACCAGTCATAAGGGTCATTTTTTTTCGAAATTGAGATTTATGCATCATCTGGAAGCTGAATAAATAAGCTTTCCATTGATGTATGGTTTGTTAGGATAGAACAATATTTGAAAATCTGGAATCTGAGGGTGCAAAATAATCAAAATATTGAGAAAATCATCTTTAAAGTTGTTCAAATGAAGTTCTTAGCAATGCATATTACTAATCAAACATTAAGTTTTGATATATTTACGGTAGGACATTTACAAAATATCTTCATGGAACATGATCTTAATATCCTAATGATTTTTGGCATAAAAGAAAAATGTATAATTGTGACCCATACAATGTATTGTTGGCTATTGCTACAAATATCCCCCAGCGACTTAACACTGCTTTTGTGCTGCAGGGACACAATTAATAATGTGTAATATCGCTGTCCACCTGTAGGGGAGCTGTGCAGCCGACCTGTACCGTCACCCACAGCTGGACGCTGACATCGAGGCTGTAAAAGACATTTACACGGACAGCGCTGTGTCCGTCAGGTGAGAACGACCCTCGCTCCGCATCTGATTCAGATCTGTGCGTTCACACCCGATTCACTTTCATTCTGCGTCTGCTGCTCTTCCTGCAGAGAGTACGGCACCATCGATGATGTGGACATCGACCTGCAAATCAACATCGGCTTCTTGGATGTGAGACCACACACTTCCTATACAAGCTACTTCACTTCATAAACAGATGTTGAAATGGGAATAAAGTGATTTGTGTGTTTGCAGGAGGAGGTGGCGACCGCATGGAAGGTGATCCGAACGGAGCCCATCATCTTACGCCTCCGTTTCTCTCTCTCACAGTATCTGGATGGACCGGGTGAGAAGCGTCTGCATTTCTGTGTCTGCAGGCCTTTTATTTACTTTACACTACTTTTATTCCATTTATTCCTACAGAACCGTCTGTGGAGGTGTTTCAGCCGTCCAATAAAGAAAGCTTCAGTTTGGGCCTTCAACTAAAGAAGTAAGTCAACATACTGGCGATCATATTGAATTAAAAGAAAGATTTGCTAATTTTATGGTTTCTTATGGAGTTATTCTAATTGATTTATTCAGCAAGGCTGCATTAAATTGATCAAACGTGACAGTAAAGTCAAATAAATAATAATTTTTCAAATAAATGCTGTTCTTTACACTGCAAAACAAGCTTATCTTAATTGAGATTTATTTGAAGGAGATTTTGAATGACGATTTTGCTTCCTGAGCCCGACTGTTGAGCTTTATTAAAAAAAATAAATGTTTTGTATATTTGTCATTTTTATATTATATTATATTATATTAAAGTGAGTATCTGCAATGGTCTCAGAAAAGTAAACCTAATTTAATGGGAAAACAAGTTTATTTTTCTGACACCATTAAAATAATTTTTTTCATGTTTTAAGCAAAAACCCATTTCATTTTGATGCATTTTTTTACAAAATAAGAGTTAGTCTCCTATATAATTTTGCTACCGAAGTTAATGTGTTTAATTAAAAATGCTTAGATGTTTGTACTGGAAAACGAGACAAAAATACTTCAATAAGAAGTCCGTTTGCAGTGCAAGTTCTGCTTTCTACTAGTCGGCAAGCATAATTAAGGTAATTCCAGCGTGAACTCATCCGCTGGCTGTGGCCTCCATCTTGGCTCCAGGTCTCCCAGTTTCCCCCTGATCCAGGACACAGTGTTGAAAGGCAAACTGAACGTGCCCGAGCTCAGAGTCACCCGGCTCATGAACCGCTCCATCTCCTGTACCATGAAGAACCCCAAGGGGGAGCTGTTTAGCTATCCTCCGAACAGCCAGGTCAGCATCCCGTCTTCCCCGACTGCACGCTTTCCTTTCCAAACACTCTCTCCTCGCTTCTCCATACCCGTGACCCCTCACTAGGGCCTCCAGATAAAACATGGATGCACAGTCCCTCATCCCAGCCCTCAGCCTCTTTGCCCTCCGACACCCCCCTCGCCTAACACGGCTGGCTGGCACCTTTCCCATAATGCTTTGTCTCCGTTAACCCATCAGACTGTGGCTGTCCCGGCGGGCAGGGCCCCTGCGCAGATTACCACCCGCCAGCTGATTGAGTTGTTTTTCTCATCCCAGGCGGGCGGACACTGCAAGAACATCCCCACGCTGGAGTACGGCTTCCTCGTGCAGGTACCGTCTCACCACAGCCTCAGCGACACGCACGACTTCATCCTTTCCCATGATGCCCAGCGTACATCCCAACATCACATCCGTGCATGTCGAGTGCAGCGTCTTTAGTGAGGCTAAATACAGACCGTAAATCTCGTAAAAGGTCATAATCATGATGACGCAGAGGATTAAAGCTCCTGCCAAAAATGTACAGCTTACATGATTTTGAATTTTAAAGATAAAATAAAATTACATTAAATAACAAATGAAAAGAAATTAAAAATGATTAAATTTAATTCAATTATACATTAAATAACAAATTAAATTAAATGAAATTATAAATAAATAAATAAAACAATAAGCAATAAGCAGTCTGTTACATTAATGCACATTTAAGGTGATAAAATGACAAACTTTAATATGCATTAATGACGAACAGGATTAAAGCACCTTCCAAAAATGTACAGTTTTATTTTGAGGTTTAAAAATTAAATTAAATTAAATTAAATAAGAATACAGAATAAGCAACTGTCTACTAAATTATTGATAATTAATTCACTCCAAGAGTGATAAAACAATATGTTGAGTAGACTAGAATCGCAAATTTTGTTTTACAATTTTGACCACTTGTATATGTGTTTATCTTTTTTCATTCTTTTTTCAGATTTTCATTCTTAAAAGGCTCTTGTTTCTTAAATCTCTTATGAAATATTTTGCTTAAAACTGCAGTTATTAATTCAAAAGGAACATGGCGGAGTGATGTGCAGCTGTAATGTAGTAAATGAACCTGTGATTATTTCATAACCGTGCTGTTATTACAGTAACAATGTTCAAGAGGCCGTACTATAGAGTGAAGAATAGCCACAGCTGAAAGATCTTTCAGTAATATTCACAATATAGCATTATATAACACGAACATTCATTCAAATGTGATTTTGTGAAACGTGATGTACACAGTAGCTGTTTTACATCATTGCTGCTTGGGGTTAGTGAGATTGTTTTTAAAGAGATTAAGGCTGCATTAAATTGATCAAAAGTGACAGTAAAGACATTTATAATGTTATGAAAGATAAATGAATGCTGTTTATATTATATAAATATATATGCTGTTCTTTTGAACTTTCTATTAATCTGTGAATCCTGAAAAATGTCCACAAAAATATTGTTTTGAACATTGATGATAATCAGAAATGTTTCTCGAGCAGCAAAGCAGCATATTATACTGATTTCTGAAGATCATGTGACACTGAAGACTGGAGTAATGATGCTGAAAATACAGCTGCGCATCACAGAAATACATTACAAGTTAACAGATATTCACATAGAAAACTAGCTATTTTAAATTGCAATAATATTTCACATTTTTACAGTACTTTTGATCAAACAAATGCAGCCTTGGTGAGCAGAAGCGTTTAAAAAAATCTTACCGTCCCCAAACTTACGGTAGTGTGTATTGTGTGCATTTTTAGCACAACTGGAACACTGGATTGACCAATCAGCATCTCGAATTGGAACAATATTTCATCAACTTCTTTGTATTATGTGTCACCCAGTTCAACAATGCTGCCGTATAAAAAAATCAGCATCCTAATGCAGTTTCCAGTTTGTGTTTTTCACTCATCATCATCATATTACACAACAGCTTCATGATTCCTCTGTGATTGCGCTGCGATTCTCTTTGAGCTTCCTGTGACAGAGGATCCCATCAGCTCAGCGTTTCTTCTGATTATCCTCCGTTAGATAATGAAATACTCTGAGCAGCGCATCCCCACTCTGAACGAATACTGCGTGGTGTGTGACGAGCAGCACGTCTTCCAGAACGGATCCATGCTGAAGGTGAGCGTCAGCCTTTGCTCACGACTGAAGCTGGGTTCTTTGCTCTGATTGGTCGGTTTCTTCCCACCAGCCTGCGGTTTGCACGAGAGAGCTGTGTGTGTTTTCCTTCTACACGCTGGGAGTGATGTCCGGAGCGGCTGAGGAGGTGGCCACCGGCGCTGAGGTGCGTCACCAGCTCCATACATTCGTCTTGTGTGCTGAGGTTTAGTGTTTGTAGAGTAAGTGTTGTGTGATGTTCATCTTCAGGTGGTGGACCTGCTGGTGGCCATGTGTCGCGCCGCTCTCGAGTCGCCCCGTAAAAGCATCATCTTCGAGCCGTATCCATCTGTGGTCGACCCTAATGACCCCAAAACGCTCGCCTTCAACCCGAAGGTGACCGTCTCTGCTTGCACTCATATTAACTATTGTTTGATCTGTTATTCCGCAAATTTAAAAATTTAGATTTTGTGCATTAGAGACACATCTGTGCACAAAAGCAGTGTTAAGTCGCTGGGGTATATTTGTAGCAATAGCCAACAATACATTGTATGGGTCAAAATTATTGATTTTTCTTTTATGCCAAAAATCATTAGGATATTAAGTAAAGATCATGTTCCATGAAGATATTTTGTACATTTCCTACCGTAAATATATCAAAACTTAATTTTTGATTAGTGATATGCATTGCTAAGAACTTCATTTTCAGGCGATTTTCTCAATATTTTGATTTTTTTGCACATATAAATATCAATTTTAAAAAAATGACCCTTATGACTGGTTTTGTGGTCCAGAGTCACATTTGTTTTTTTTAGCAAAAAATTGGAAAGAAGAAAAAAAAAAACATCTGCTGTGCAACAGGGCTCAAAGCATCAGTATGGATTTTTAAAAGATTATTCATAAAAGATTATTGTGACTTTGTATCTCACAATTCTGACTTTTTTTCTTGCAGTTGCGAGTTCACATCTCACAATTCTTATAAAGACTATAAGAATAGTCTTTTTTGAGAAAAGGACTCAGAATTGCAATAATAAAGTCAAAATTGTGAAATGTGAAATCACAATTACCTTGTTTTATTTTTTATTCAGCGGTCTTCCATACATCAGTCAAGCACTACTTAACCACATGTTTATAATGTACTTATATATGTATAATAATGTTCTTATTTTGTACTTTATTTTCGTTTTCAATACAAATACCTCAACATTCTTAAATCAAGATGCATTCACTTGAGAAACGAAATGGCTTAAGATATTAAGTCTAGTTTCTTGATAAAAATGATCAAAACTAAGTGAGTTTATAATATAAACTCTTGTGTTGTATTCTAGTCATTTTGACCTGGAGAGGATTTTCTTTTTCCAGCCTTTTAAAAGTTGCTTATGAATCTCTCATTATGCTATATTATCACCAAATCCTGGATTTAATCTATTTGTTTTCTTTCAGTTAGCACAGTTTTGTGTTTCTTTTTGGAATTGATTGATTGTAGGCTTCATTGATCAGAGCTCGTGCACCTCAGTTTTTGAGTGAACATTGGCAAAATCATCCACAGATATTGTTCTTTTCACTCAAAAATGCGTAAGCTCAGATCAATGATGCCTACGATCAGTCAGTTCCAAAAAGAAACACAGCTAATTGAAAGAAAAGAAGTTTTCCAAGATTTGGAAAGATCCAAGATTTGGTGATGATATAGCATAATTAGAGATATACAAGCAATATTTAAAAGGCTGGTCATTTTTTACATCAAATTAGGTGCTGAATTTCAGTACATATCAAGGGTTAAAACAAGAAAACAACATCTGATTTTAAGCATCAACTCACTAATTTTAGATAAATTTTGCTTCTTAAGTAAATGTGTCTTGATTTAGGAATGTTTTGATGTTTGTACTGAAAAAGACAAAAACTAAATACTGAGTAAGAAAATTATTTTTTGCAGTGTATTAAGATTCAAATCAGCTTGACTTCAACTTTAACCAGGATCAAACCTTTCCTTCCTTGTGTGTGTGTGTGTGTGTGTGTGTGTGTGTGCGTGTGTGTGTGTGTGTGTGTGTGTGTGTCTCTGTCTGTGTTTGTGTGTGATTATTGTACTGCTCCTGTGCCGAACAGAAGAAGAATTATGAGCGTCTGCAGAAAGCTCTAGACAGTGTGATGTCTATTCGGGAAATGACACAGGTACTGTTTTTAGTCAGTCTACTTGCTAAAAAAATGATCCTTAAATCTTTATAAAATATCTTTCCCACAACATTCCTGTGGAATATCCATATTAATTCATACAAAGACTAAATTAAAGTTTGAAAAAAGAATTTGCATGTACAAAAATGATATTGATAACTGAGTTGTCGGAGGCTGTTTTTCTATAACTGTATCTGTATTTTCAGGGATCGTATCTAGAGATTAAGAAGCAGATGGATAAACTGGATCCTCTGGCTCATCCGTTACTGCAGTGGTGAGTTAATAAGCAACAGGCCAGGCATTAGAGTGATTTTACCACAGTAAGTGTGTTTAGGCCTTTCTGATGGTTTATTTAATCTGTCTCTCTCTGCAGGATCATATCCAGCAACAGGTCTCATATTGTGAAGCTGCCGCTCAGTAGGGTAAGATGAACACTTTTAAATGCAAGAACAGCTTAACTTTTATAAGCTTGCCTTTGTTCATTTCACTTCTGTGTTTTGCTGTTTATAGCAGCTGAAGTTCATGCACACATCTCATCAGTTTCTGCTGTTGAGCAGCCCACCTGCAAAAGAAGCTCGATTTCGCACCGCAAAGAAACTCTATGGCAGCACCTTTGCCTTCCAGTGAGTCGCAGTGACCTGCAGAAACACACGCACGTCACAGAGAATCAAACTCACGCCAGAGCCGATCACGTCACTGTCTGCACTCGCTGAACGACGCAACCAACCCAAATGCTCCGGTTAGAATTAACAAAGCTGTTCTACGTTGCACTGAATATTTGGTGTGGACTTTGATCAAATAAATGCAGCCTTAGTTTTGTTTCAAAAACGAAAATATTAGAGACTTCTTTCAAAAACAACAAACTAGAATGCCTCCGTTATAATCAAAAAACTGTCTACGATGTAGTGCAACACACTACATGTTGCAGCAGGAACTGTTAGAAATATAATTTGATTACAAATTATATTTTGACTGCAAATTACATTTTGATTGCAAACTACATTTTAATTACATTTACATTTAGTCATTTAGCAGACGCTTCTATCCAAAGCGACTTACAAATTAAGACAATAGAAGCAGTCAAAACTAACAAAAGAGCAACAATATGCAAGTGCAAATGACAAATCTCCGTTAACCCAATGCAGTACACGTAGCAAGGTATTATATATATATATATATATACACACACACACACACAAAAAGAAAAACAAGTAGATAGAATAGAAAAAATAGAAAGCTAGTGTTAGTTTTTTTTAAATAAAAAAGAAGATAAATAGATAAAGTAGAATTAAAATAGAATAGAATGTGCTAGAGTTAGAGGGTCAAATAAAGGTGAAACAGATGTGTTTTTAGTTGTTTCTTGAAGATGGGTAAGGACTCAGCTGCTGGGAGTTGATTACAAATTACATTTTGATTACAAACTACATTTTGAGTTACAAATTACATTTTGATTACAAATTACATTTTGATTACAAACTACATTTTGGTTACAAATTACATTTTGATTTCAAATTACATCAAATATGATCTTCTATTGAGAGATTTATATTATCCAACATTAAATGAATGTCAAAATTAGTTTTAAGTGGTGTTTGCGCTCAAGTTTCTTTTCTTATTTGATTGAATTCACCAAGCAAAGTCATGCAATAAAGTGAAAATGTTTTTATAATCAGTTTTTCAATTTAGTTCATCTTAGAAAAAATATGAATTGTAGGTTAAGAATGAAAATGTGACATTTTATAAGAGTTTCAGGGCCTGTTTTAAACCTCATTCATTTAAATCTGCCAAGAAATAACAGATTTATAAGCTGCTGATCAGGTTACTATTCAGAGCTCAGTGAAATGTTTCCTATGATCCCGACAGACCCCCAGATGATCAAACATTAAATGAATGTCAAAATTAGTTTTAAGTGGTGTTTGCGCTCAAGTTTCTTTTCTTATTTGATTGAATTCACCAAGCAAAGTCATGCAATAAAGTGAAAATGTTTTTATAATCAGTTTTTCAATTTAGTTCATCTTAGAAAAAATATGAATTGTAGGTTAAGAATGAAAATGTGACATTTTATAAGAGTTTCAGGGCCTGTTTTAAACCTCATTCATTTAAATCTGCCAAGAAATAACAGATTTATAAGCTGCTGATCAGGTTACTATTCAGAGCTCAGTGAAATGTTTCCTATGATCCCGACAGACCCCCAGAGAAAGAATATCAAGAGCGTCAAAAATAATGACAGGTTTATATCGGGTGCAGACTTATAAATGTGGTATAAATTTAAACACCACTGGAAAACACGTCAGGTTTTTTTGTGCTATTTCTGTGCTTTTTGTGTTATTTTTATGGACACATTTCCACTTTTAGACCTTGCGTGAAATAAAAGTCATTCAAAAACAGCCAACAAAAGACTAGCATAACTCAGAAATATCTCCAGACGTCTGTGTTTAAAAATACACTTGTGCCAGATTTAACGAACATCCGCGTTACATCATACTGTACAGGTCATCAGATTTTTTCAGTCACACTTATAAAACTGAATTTTGACATCTTCTGAACAGTGAGTGCTGCATGACCGTGCAAAACTCAGCACCATGATACAAGTTGCTAAGGTGTCTTAGGTAGTTTGCTTATTGGTCCAAAGAGTCCGGCACCATCAATTCTCTGTGTTATTCTGGTCTGTGGGATTTTATCACTTGTTTCTCTCCTTCTAGTGGCTCCCATATTGAAAACTGGCACTCGGTTCTGAGGAATGGACTGGTCAATGCCTCTTATACTAAACTGCAGGTATGTAAAAGCCATCCGTCAGCTGACCTCAGCTCATGTTCTCTGCAGTCCAGATGATCTGTTCTGATCGTAATGGCTGTCCGACTGCATTTATGTCTGGAATCAGGCCCTTTTCTGACTGCAGCCAACACTATTCTGCTTCCTGTAGTAAAGGATGGATGGTGTGTGATTGGCTGCGTTCAGAATGGAATGTTAGCTTACTGCTTACTTCACAGTATGTGCTGTATAGTGCTGACTGTGTAAGAGTAGTAAGTGAAACGGAATGCAACATTTGAAACAGTAATCTGCAACATTGTTTCACTCAACCTCTTTGTGTTGCATTTTAATTCTCACTGCAAAAATGGTTTCCTTTTTCAGTATTTTTCTCTTGTTTTCCAGTGCAAATATCTAAACGTTCTTAAGTCATGATACAAAATGACATAAAGATAACAAGCGAAATTAAGCGACTTTAGGTTTAAAACGAATGGGGTCAGAAAAATTAATTATCTGACCTGACCTGATTGATGTTTTTTCTTGTCACTTGCATTTGATGATCAGAAAACATGACTTTTTATCTTTTTGCTGTCATTTTTCATCTTGATTTATGATTATTTGTACTGGGAAACAAAACAAAAATACTGAGGAAAAATGTTGAGAGCGCTTGTTATCTTTGAAATAAATGATTATTATGCATTTTTAATCCAATTTAGTGTAGAAATGCATGTTTAATTCTTAGCTAAATGATTTCCTCCTTCAGTGTTTTTGTTTTTTTATTCTAGTACAAATATCTCAACATTCTTAAATCAAGATACATTTACTTGAAGTAAAATGACATAAAATAATAAGTCTTGTATTCTGAGAAATTGATCAAAATGAAGTGACTTTATGTTTAAAACAAGGAAAAATGTCAGTCAGTGGGGGTCAGAAAAATGGACAAAATTCAAAAAGGAAAACTAGTTGATTTTTCTGAATGGTCAGTATTTTTTCTTGTTTCAAGTATAACATTTTGTAACAGTTTTTCAAAAAAATAAGACTTGTCTTTTTACTGTTATTTTGTATCTTGATTTAAGAATGTTTAGATATGTGTGCTGGAAAACAAGACAACAGTTCTGAAGAAGAACATGATTTTTTGAAGTGCAGTGAGCAGTTTAATCCAATTTAGTGTAAAAATGTATGAGCTTTTGTCAGACTGATCAAATAATGTTACAGATCATGGCAGATTTGACTTCTGGTTCGTTCATCACACTGGAAATGGAAGGTGAAGTTGCATTGCATTGTTGGATACAGAACATTATGGTAGTATCCTATAATTAAAATAAATGTCGTTCTCAAGCTGTGTTTCTTTGCACTTCACTGAAGACTGTGAGATCAGTGGCGTTTGATGAGGTTTCTAGAGAGTTTGTGTTCAACATTGAAGATGAAGTTTACCAGGAAAACAACAAAATCCTCCTGGAATGATCTTTTTCTATAAGAACTTTCCATCTTTAATTCCATGTCAGTCATTTTCATGTCATCTGGTGCTTGTTGATGCTTTTCTCCTGGAAAGACGTCCATCGTTTCATTCAGTCATACATCTATAAACTCTCACGAGACTGAACGTTAATTTCGCTGTATAATGCATGTTCATGCATCTTCAATGGAAACCATCATCATCATCATCATCACCCGTCTTCTTCCTAAGTGCTTCACTTGTTGTTTCTCATGCTTTCTTCTTCATTCATTGAATGCATCCCATCAGACGTCTGTGTCTTGCTGAGATTCTTTGGGCCACAGCTCAGATGTGAAAGCGTTTCTGGCGTGTTTCTCTTCTTTCACGGGGAGCGTGTGCAGAGCGTGTAACTCTTTCTTCTCTTTCGTCAAAGCTGCATGGAGCAGCGTACGGGAAGGGCATCTATCTGAGCCCCATATCCAGTATTTCCTTTGGATACTCAGGTACGATCCAGACCCGCGTCTTCCGTGCTTCGCTGTGGGTTCTTCATCACATCTCAGTCTCTCTCTCTCTGTAACGAACACCTCAGTCTGTTTTCTGATCCATATGAATGCTGCTTTGTTGTGCGTGGACACTCTTTTTGAATCTGTGAATTCTTTTTGTTGTATGTGCTGAATTGCTTTTCCTTTTCTGCAAACAATCATTCTCTTTATCGGTATTTTGTCTAAAACTATCCTTAAAACAACACACTTTTACTTCAGAAGCGAATCTGGGAAGGACTAGTTTTCAGTGGTTATTTTTCTCGATAGCAAATTTCTCCTTTTACGTCTAATCTGCTCTACCTTTTGTTAATTTCTTCCATTTAAAACATTGATTTTCTTCTTCAGAATTTTTGCATTATTTTTGCAGTGCAAATATCTAAATATTCTTAAATCGTTACATTTATTTAAGAGGCAAAATGAATTAAGGCATTAATAAATATATAAGATATTAAGTCTTGTTTTCTGAAGAGTATCATTGTAAAAAAAAAGTGAAAATGTACATAAAAAAATCTGCCAATTAGGTAAGAAATATGAAATTTATTTAAAGGGAAAACAAGATTATTTTTCTGACCCCATTGACTATTTTTTAAAAAATTTTTAAGCATAAAGTTTCTTAATTTTGATCTGTTTTTCAGAAAATAATACTTATTTAATGTCATTTTGCTTCTCATGTGATTGCATCTTAATAAAATAAAATAAAAAAACAAGACAAAGATATTGAAGAAAATTTCAGACAAAAAATGGGATAAAAATATGTAAAATAATAATATAAAATAATAATATAAAAAATAAAAAAGTCATAAAATCTCATGCAATGCTGCTTCTCAAGTAAATGTTTTTTAAGGATGTTTTATTGGTGAAAAGGCAAACTGACTATAAGAAATACTTAGTAAAAACAAAAAATAATAACCAAATATATATATATATATTTGCAGTGCATGAAGACGTGCCAGTGCTGTTTCCAAAGTCGAGGTCCAATCTGATCTCGCAAGTTTCCAAAGAACAACAACAACTCAGACTAGTTAGTAGCTGGGTTTAGTGTTAATTGCACATAGAAAAATAACCAACAACAAAATCAACCAAGCTGTATTTCGGACACTGTATAAATAATAAATTATAGAAACAAATATATACTGTATACATAGATATAAAAAAAAGATTATATTCCAAGAAGCAAGAGTGTTTGAATGCAAGTTACATAAAAACACAGTTCTTTCGGATATATAGCCTCATTTGAGCACCGGCATCATTTCACTGGAAAAGAGATGAATATTAGATCAAATTATGATTTATTTCTTCTATTTTTGTATGTGTTCAGGAATGGGGAAGGGCCAGCATCGCATGCCCACTAAAGATGAGTTAGTCCAGCGATATAATCGAATGAACACAATGCCACAGGTACGACAGAAACATTCAAACATTTGACCTGCGCTGGGCGTCTCAGAGCAGTAACTGTGTGTTATATGTCCTTCAACAGAGTCGCCCCATACAGTCACGGTTCCTCCAGAGCAGGAACTTAAACTGCATCGCTCTGTGTGAAGGTAAAACATCTCAGATCTCACCTGCTCTAACAATTCACTCAGTTTTGGCTTGAGTAGAGAAAAAAACATTCATAATTGTGAGCCTGCAGCACAAAAGCAGTGTTAAGTCGCTGGGGGATATTTGTAGCAATAGCCAACAATACATTGTATGGCTCACAATTATACATTTCTCTTTTATGCCAAAAATCATTAGGATATTAAGATCATGTTCCATGAAGAGATTTTGTAAATTTCCTACCGTAAATATATCAAAACTTCATTTTTGATTAGTGATATGCATTGCTAAGAACTTCATCTGAACAACTTTAAAGATGATTTTCTCAATATTTAGATTTTTTTGCACCCTCAGATTCCAGATTTTCAAATATTGTCCGATCCTAACAAACCATACATCAATGAAAAGATTATTTATTTATGATGCATACATCTCAATTTCAAAAATGTGAACCTTATGACTGGTTTTGTGGTCCAGGGTCACATATTGCTTAATAAATTCTCTTGTGTTGGGTTAAATCCTGTTTGTCAGCCGAGACTGATGTATGAGATGATTGTGTTTGTGTGCTGACAGTGATCACATCCAAAGACCTGCAGAAACATGGCAACATCTGGGTGTGTCCGGTGTCTGACCACGTCTGCACACGCTTCTTCTTCGTGTGAGTGTCTCTCTGATTGATCACGGCAATCTACGGAAGCCCCAAGAGGCCATGCACCTGTTTTCTTGTGATCTCAATTTATTTTTATTATGAACTTGTCATTACAAAATGTTATGCATGTTAAATCTGATGATCTAGACATAGAAAAGTTGTTTTTTTGACTTGTGTCCTAGAATAAAATTAATAATAATAGTGTTATTTTAATATCCTTATTGTAGTTTTTTATTGATTTTTTTAATTGAATTTTTATTATTATAATTTTTTTGTTAGTGTAGTTTTTTTGTTATTTTATGTCTAAATCATTTGTATTAATTTCATTTTTAGTTTTTGTTATTTTGTTATGTTGACAATCGAAATCGTGAAAAAAAAACATGTCAAAAACTAAAATCTACTATTTTATGTCGAGATCACCAAAAATGAGCTACACTGAAAAAACAACAACTATATTTTAATTAGTTAATATATACAAATATTTAAACATTCATAAATCAAGATACATGAGAATCAAAATGACATATTAAGTCTTTTTTCTTGAAAATGTGTCACAGTTTAGTTTGGGGTCAGAAAAATAAACTTAATTCAAAAGAAAAACAAGATTATTTTTCTTGCCCCACTGGCTGATATTTTTCTCATTTTAAGCAAAAATTTTGATGCTTGTTTTTTGGAAAGAAAAAACAAGCAGACTTAATATCTTCTTGTCATTTTGCATCTCAAGTAAATGTATCTTGATTTAAGAATGTTTAGAAATTTGTTCTTGAAAGCAAGACAAAATTACTGAGGAACAACATCACTTTTGCAGTGATTATATCAAAAATAGAATATATATATATATATATATATATATAATCTCTCTCTCTCTATATATATATATATATATAGAGAGAGAGAGATTTGTTATGTTGACAATCGAAATCGTGAAAAAAAAACATGTCAAAAACTAAAATCTACTATTTTATGTCGAGATCACCAAAAATGAGCTACACTGAAAAAACAACAACTATATTTTAATTAGTTAATATATACAAATATTTAAACATTCATAAATCAAGATACATGAGAATCAAAATGACATATTAAGTCTTTTTTCTTGAAAATGTGTCACAGTTTAGTTTGGGGTCAGAAAAATAAACTTAATTCAAAAGAAAAACAAGATTATTTTTCTTGCCCCACTGGCTGATATTTTTCTCATTTTAAGCAAAAATTTTGATGCTTGTTTTTTGGAAAGAAAAAACAAGCAGACTTAATATCTTCTTGTCATTTTGCATCTCAAGTAAATGTATCTTGATTTAAGAAT